GATTGTGAACGCCTCCCTGACCCCGTGCGGTCATTACCTCGCTGCAGCAGTTTCGCATGAATGACTGATGAGCAGTAAAGTTATTCCTGTGTTTCCTCTGTTGATCACATCTATTCCAATTTTAAACATTGAAAAACAAAACGGGACCATCTTTCACATCCCGTTATCCTGTTCCGAAGGAAGCGGCTACAATGCTAATTTGCACCTGCAGGCAGGAAAGCCTCAGATCACATTATTTGGAGCAGTTGGCTGCTCCCTGTGGGTCGGCCGCTCACAGATGGTGGAGAGTTGTATGTGATGTGTTAAACTTCTTTCAAGTTGACCCGAATTAACTTGTGCTAATCACACTAGTGACTCCAGGGATCAGCAAGGTGATCCTTGATGATTACAGTAAAAATAATGGTTTGATGTAAGTCAACTAATAATACAATACTACAAGTGAATGTCCAGTGTCTAGTAGAATATTTTCCCCTTAAAACCTGTTAAATATCCAAATGACGCATCCATCCAAATAGTTTGACATTTTAAGAAATACATATTTTATTTCTTGCCAGGAGGTAGAAGATTGATACCACTTTACACTCTGAGTGGTATCGATCTTCTCAACTCTTGATAGATGGGGTACAAGACATACAAATCTCCTATAGTCTCCTGAACAGTAAGTAGTTGTAAGTAGTAAGTAGACGGATGTTTCGCTCATGCACCTCATTGTGAATTTAATACGCTGTCAGTACAAATCAGCAATTAAATCAAAGCAGCTAGTTTTTGAACAGAAACTGTGCCGGATGACAATCGTTTTTTTTTTTTTGTTTCATCGTGCAGTGACCGCACAACTTCAATTTTTCACTCTTTCGCCTGGAGATCTGACCTTCAAAGAGAATATAGAGTTGATGTGGGTAAGGAATGATAGAACCTTCTCCATGTGTCTGACCTTTTCAGTGATGTATCGCTGCTAAGCATGAAGTGATATCAATGGTTTCATGTCCTTATGATGTGCCAAGTACATATGTCACTGTACCTTCCTCCAGGCGTTTTAGGTAGACTGTGCCGGACACAAGGACATGTCCTTATGTCCAGGGTCATTGGAGAAGGCAACAGAGGGTGGCGGACCAACAGCAACTAGCAGACTCTCAAACAGCCTGCTGGCCTCCATTAAAGTCCTGTGGCTATTTCATCCAGCCATTACGGAGAGGTGTGAGACACTCTCACTCTCGCTTTGTGCTGTTGCTGCAAAGAACAACGTATCATTACACATGGATGCACCGCTGAAGCAAAGTGAAGCTCCATTTAACAAATTATCAGCACTTCAGCACAGTGATTGTCTTTCAAAAGCCCTGCAATCTGAGATTGATACGATTTGATTGTGGCATTAACGCACCATGTGCTGGAGTGAATATCACAAGCTCATTGAGGTCCCTGGGTCGAAATGTTAAATCAAAAGCCTGGAAATATTGGCCCACTCCAAACAAGGGCCTAATTAAAAAATGAATGCATCAGGGACACATAACAGATTAAGATACGCAGCTCGCTTGAAGTGTGTATCCTGCCTCTAATAGTATTGTGTTTCATCTCATTTTAATTTTCTCTTTCTATAGGGGCACATTCAGTGGACATGCGGCAGTTATTGCAGATGATCCATTGTAAGTGCCGTCACACTGTGTACTATGTTTTCATGTAAAACTCATTGCCCCCGTTATTACATAAATCCTCACGGTTTTTATTTTCTGTCTACTTCTATGAAATCCACACTGAATCTGTTTGGAGATACTTTGCAATCATACAGGCTGTTTTATGCAAACAAGGTGCAGCAGCTGAAGAGGTCTTGCCTCAAGGAAAACAATAAAGTCCTGCCAGAACAAGAAGATGTGAGAAGAGAATTAATTCAAAGTTGAGGTTCTCGTATTAACCGTGTATGACTTTGCAATAAGTGAAAGAGAAAATCTTCAAGCCTGTACATCATTTTTAGTCGGTCTGTCCACCCCTTTGGTCCTGACTGAAATATCTCAACAGCCATTGGATGGATTCCCATTCAATTTTGTTCATCTAGTCATGCTCCCCAGAGGATGATTCCTACTAACTTTGGTGATCCCCTGACATTTTCTCTAGCGCCATCATCAGGTCAAATGTTAATTGTCCAATATTTTGGTTTGTGACCAACTATCTGTAAAACTATTGGCATTCCCAGATTGTGTTGAATTAGCAATTGTTAGCATACTAACATGGCATGCTAGTAGCCTAGTAGCTAAATTACGATGGTGAACAAAGTACATATTATACCTGCTAAACATCATCATGTCAACATTGTCATTTGGAGCATGTTAGCATGCTGATGTTAGAGTTTAGTTTTAATGTATTAAATATTATATAAAGTTACATTTTAAATTGTTGTGTTTCATAGCATAGTCTTTATTGAGGACTCTGCAAAGCATGCACACACAAGAAAGACAAGCCGTCCACCACAACACCATGGCAATTTTTGATTTCACTGATCCGTAAACTCGTTCTATTTTTGTGTTGGTGTAAGCAGCAGACTGTAGTTCCCATTAGGTGGAGGGCGGAGTCCAACTGTGTCCAACTGCTTGGTGGAAACAGGAGGTTCAGTTACAGTCCAGCTCAGACAGGTTTGCTCTGTGTTGCTCACCTTCATCAGGAATTCTCACTGGGAGTTAACTCACTCTCCTCCCACTACTTCCTCCCCTCCTCGCTTTATATCTGCTCCTTCGCTGCAATGCTTTGCATCACTTTCCTTGATCTTGGCAGTGTGTTGTTTCAGAGGGTTCTGCTGATTGTCGAAAACACTCTGGTTGTTCCAGCACCGCAGCATCTGCTCTTCTATCTCAGCTCTTTTCTCCTCCGTTTTTCTTCTTTTTCTCACCCACCCCTTTCCTTTTTCATCTATAAATTGTAAATCTGTTTTTGCAGTTTTGTGCTGTTTCATAGCATATAGCCCTCAGTGAGTACTTTACATCAAATGCCATGATGTAATTTGGCAGCTTCATGATGTACAACTTCTTGGCTTAATACCACATAAAACATGAAACAACATATTTTGACAGTCTGCTCTTCAATCCAACTCAAATGTAGAAAATGTGCATCTGCAACATTTAGAGCTGGTTTTCTGTTCCTCTAAAGTACATCTTGACGAGCAATAACAGAGTCATCATGACAGCTGCACCGAATTGCATGTTAACATACATCTTACATTCCCTAAACAACATGTAACTCCAAGATGTACCTGGTGTCCTTTCACATGATGTGCATTATTCATAGTATGACTAACAAGTCCCAGGAACAAACAGTCTAATACTCTGACAGCATACAAAAACAAACTAAATAAGGGGCGTGTTTTTGTGAGTGTTATCAAGTATGCTTCTTTGTTTCCAGCCAAAATATTTGCCTGTGCCAAACCCAATGGGGAGCCGTTACTACAAGAAGAGAAGTTTCATTGTTTAGTATGCCAGCAAGAGGAATATTGTGAAGCCACTTCACTGGATATTTACAGGAAATACATGTCTGGGTCCATATATTGCTTTCTGGGTGTACACAGCCTTATTGTGAGGAATTCAGAGCCAGGAATGTCAGCTGATGTTTCTCTGTGGATACTTTCACAGTATACGATGTTGCCCACAAATTAATTTACCCTTGTATCAGCTTCAAGCGGCGCCTCGTCTCACTCTATTCTGCATTTACAAGGGGCTGATACGAGTGGATTTAGTCTGTATTATGAAGCAAAAACTACATGATTGTTAAAGGCCGGAAAGGGGACACAGCTGAGCAATGATGTTTCTGCTGGCAAACTCCTGTACAGCCTTTCTCTTGTTACACACCTCCGCTATCATCAAGGTTAATTAGAAATTTCACCATTGCTTCACGCTGTTTTCAAGCCACCTCCGGAAAATTTCCACAAATCTTTCTTTCCCCTCCATCTCTGTTTCTCCCTCTGCTCTCCCACAAGGGTCCTTTGGCCATCGTTAGAACTTAATGAACTCAGTTTAATAATCAAAGGGAATTAGTGGAGTTCGGCTGTGGCGTTGTCGTATATCCTGCAGGCGTTGTGTTGCTGGCTCTTCCTTGTGTTTGAAATGAGCGTGTGTTAAATGTGTTGTGTTCTCATTGTGTTCCCCGTGTCCCACACTCTGCTATCAGGGGGACGTAATGGGATCTTTCCCTAATTAGTTTCGGAGTGTGTTCATTAGACTTAGCAGATTCAGTTAACTTATGGGTATCTCACAATGGCCCAATTCCCCCAGGTACACCGATGTCTGGGAGATAAATCATCTCTGTCTGCACACTATAATGAGGCAGACTCTGTCATAGTTTGCTCTCAATGTATGGAGAGCTAAGTTATGCACAATATCAGTTAGCCCACATGTGTTTTGCAATTTCCGTCGGGCTTTAATGCACCACAATTCATTTTGTTTACATTCTATGTTGGGTTTGTAAATGGATTTTAGACTGATAAATGTATCTTTGCGGTGACTGCTTTAACATGTCAGGGTACATACATTCCTTATTTCAAGCTTGTTTTGTAGCCCTGATGGATAAAAAGCAGCCTTTGCTGGTGCATCGTCCCTCGAGTTTAACACATGGTCTCACTGTCACTTTCTCTCAGCCAGCCATGATATTGGAAATTATTCAGCATTAGCGTGCAGAGCCTGGTAGACTTGGGATGTTACTCCCTTTCAGCGGGGTGTCACATTCAAATAGAAGTAAATTAGCTGTCACCAAGGCTTGGTTTGGGAGCTGCTGCTATGCCTCAGAGACGATCCGGGTCTCTGCTCACTGCCAAGTCGATGCAAGGCAACAAGTCATTATAGCTGCAAGAAATAAAGAAGTACAATGTAATTTGAGTCAAATGGCTTTCTTTAGCCGAGGATGAATTAACACCAAAGAAATGCACATACTGAATCACAGCACTGGTGTAAACTACCTGCTGTGTGCTGTTTTGCCTCAAGAAAGCTGAAAGATTAGCTGAAAGTTGCACTCTCATTATACGGGCCAGCATTGTGTGTGTGTGTGTGTGTGTGTGTGTGGAGCTGGACTCATTACCAGCAGCAATGCTGAAGGGACAGGGAAGATTCACACAGTCTCCAGACAACAGGGTGACACAGTCTGTCTTTTAAGGTTCGTGTCTCGCAAATCCATCAGTCCACCATTTAATAAAATTATACAGAACAATTAACTGATGATGATTCTTAAATATATCTCTGAACTTTCTTCTTATATCTCTGCTTTCCTCACCTTTAAACTTACAAAATGTTTGTTTTTTTAGTTGGGAAAGTGCAGAAAATGATCCCTTTTTTTGCTATTTAATTTGATAAGTGTCTAATGTAAAACACAGATGAGAGTGCAACATTTATAGAACAAGTCCCAGAGAGTCTGAAAACTCAATAAAAGTCAATAGTCATTAGCGAGACCCTGAAAAAATAGTATGAGGCTTTAGTGGCCCCCAGTGGTCAAACTGAGTAACACAAGCAAAGATTTTATATAGAATACAGTATTTATTATCACAATAAGAGAACAATACTGAGAGAACAGATGAGCCTTGACTTTATTAAGATGGCACTGTGTATACTTAGTATTTACAGTACATTACACGCATTACAAACACATGTAGCTTGACTCACAGTACAACACTCTCACAACAATAAGGTGATATGGCTGCACAATGAAAATAAATGTCAATCAATATGATGCCAAGTAACACACACACAAGCATAAATAATTCACTGAAAGTACCAGCATGCTGTACAAAATGTTCATTTCTGTTACTCCCTACATGACCTGTGTAGTGTTTGAAACAATAAATATTAACAGAAGCACTGACAACATCTTGTGCATTGATATGAACGGGGACAACGATGCAGAGCAACAAAAGTTCTGTACATCTGATGCCTCCAACCTTCATTCTGCTGCTGTAATCAGTGGGCAATCGTGTTTAACAATAATAATAATGTTGCACCTGCGATAATCACAATAAACGTTTTGTTTTCCTCTGATTTCCATTTTATGTTTAACATAAATATCTAGTCTTATTATTGATCAAGAACTGATCAAACACATTTTGCCCTATTTTCACTCTTAAATACTGCACTCCTCCATTCAATATCTGTTTCTATGTTTACCTTAAACATAGGGAACTCCGTTCCAGCTCCTAATGGTTCACTAAAAAAAGTGAGTAATGCTCATTGCAACAATTTTCATTCTTCTTCAATACAGTAGAAGGGCGCCTTCTGCTCACTAGAACCTTCTTTAAGTATAACACCACAGTATTGTTACTGTATTTACTGTAGCTAGTTCCAAAAAAATCGATACTCCTCAAAAAGGTTCTTAACCTCGTTATTGGTGACATAATGATTGGCTTTTTGGTTTGACTGTATACCATTAGCATTAAAACACCTTGACTAGCTATGTGCATTATATCTTACTTAATGCCAAATGGATTGGGTCAGACTGGTAAAACATTTGCTCTGTTCATGACCAATAACTTATTGGATCCAGATTTATACATGTTGCCATAGGGGGGCAGCAGCAGTCTCCCTAGAGGAGGTCCAGTGTAAGTGTGTGTCTAGGAGGAGGAGTCCTCCTCCACAGGGTGGAGAGCATGCCTCTTGAGCAGTGTCTTTAGTATCTCCACCTCCCGCTCTGCCTCCTTCAGCTTCCTACATAGTGTCCCATTGGCTTTCTGGAGCCTCTGGTTGTCCTGCGAAAGACACAGAAGATTTGTATCATGCATAGTAACTGTGGTGCATTTAAGTACTGTGCCTTTTGTTTAGGAGGAAAAATGAAACTTGGTTCTGGACACTCACTGATTCCAGAGATTCATAGGTGGGTTTGTTCTCCTCATCTGGCTCTGTAGGCTTTTGCGCAATAGAAGCTCTGTTTTCCCACTTGGCACAGTGTCGCTGTTTTCTCTGGGGCACCGGGCTGGGACATGAGGTGAGGAGGGGTGTTGTTGGGACCAGCAGAGAAGGCTGAAGGCAGCTGGCCTCAGGGTCTGCTGAGGACAGTTGGAGTCCCTCTGTCTGGGTGGCACTATTGACCCACCGACGCCTCGAATAGGAGGCGACTGGGGAGTCTGGGCTCCAGTCTTTGCTGTCATCTGGCGGGTAGGGGAAGGGACATTCTTCTAAAATTGGATAAAATAAGATAATTCTTAATTGGTCCCGCAGTGGGGAAATTTACAGGATTACAGCAGCATAGTGGATAGTGCAAACAAGAGACATAGTAAAAAAACAAGTAGTATAAATGAGTAAATGCGTAATATAACAGTAAAGAATATTACTAATAACTAATAACTAAAATATTATATATACAGACAGAATCATTTTTGTATTGCAAAGATTTTTAATGTCGTTAGTGTTGGGTGTTGACGGGGTCATTATCAGTAATTATTTTAAGTGAGACAAATGGAAAATGCAGATTGTTATCATTACATACCTGACTTGACCTTTTTTCAAAATCATGTATTTAAGGAGAACAAGCTCATAAGATTCAATTGATAAGGGGTCACAAAACAAAATTACTCAATTCAGTATGCACTGAAAAACAAGACAAATAAACCACATGCCAGAATAGCACGTCACAAAGACTCATTTGAAGAGGGGCTGTGTTAATATAGCCCCCATGCTTTTAACCAAGTGTCTTGATGTGTCAATCCTCCCTAAGTAAAATCGAAAGCTCTTCTTCTGTTCTGAATGTAGTAGCTTTCTCACTGCAGGTGGGTAGCTTCAGTATTATTGTAAATGAAACGGTTCCCTAATGCCAGCTGGGGGGAAACCACCCTGACAGTAGACCCTGTGCTCAAGAAGTGTTTTCTTTAAGCTGGAGCAAACTAAAGTGAAGTCATGTAAATTCTGACTTTTATTGTTTTCTGTACAGTGTGTCGGGCAATACCGATTACCAATACAGGAAATAACTTAGTTGATGAACATGTGCCTTAAAAAGTCTCTGCCACCAGATGGCACCTGTCTCAGGGACTTACTGATCGCTGCCATGTTACATGCATGTTATTGTCTTCATAGTTCAGGTGAGAGTCTGCATCTGTGGGAACTTTTGTAAAATGATTGTATTTGTTGTTACTGTGTGTATTAATTGGACTGTTTATGCATGCAGATAATGAACCCAATCACCCAAACCCACCCTCTGAGGTGCCCATGGTGACAGGGGTGGAGCTCGGTGTCGGACTGTCGATAGCATTGGTCACTTTGGCGTTCTTCTTGCACTCAAACGCCACCTGGTCCTTACACAGCCTGTGGCAGTTCATCCCACAGTCTGAGCCAAAGAAAGCACAACATGTCAGAACAGGAACTAGCGTTAGTCTAACATCTACAAACTGACTTCTACTGACTTTTCTTTGAACACCATCTCTTCTGCAAATGCAACTCTCAAGACTTTTGCATGCTTACCGTCAGGCAAACAAATAGCTCTCAGATCTATTGAGGGACGGGGGAGGGGGAAAAAACTGTGGTTCTGGCTGCAGATTTCTTTTTTTTTTCATGTGCTGCAAGGCTCATCTAGCTGTGTGCAACACAGAAAACCACACTACACCGTCTTACGATAGCTTCACTTCACCTGCTCCCCACAAGACAATGTGTGCACCTCATGTTTAAGCATGATACTGACTGACTTTTTGTTGGGCCAAAGATATAATAATAATCACCTCTGCATCTGTAGCCTTGCTTGATGACACCCCACAACTGTGAAGAAGAATATGAAGACTGTTTTCACATCACTGTAGCAAAAGCAAAACTAAAAACAAGATTACATATTGTAAAAGTCTTTTTTTTTGTTGTTGCCCTGACATAATAGTTAAGCAGTTTCATTATTTCATCATACATTGAGTTTTTGTGGTGACTTACAAATCCTGAGCAGTTGTCACAAAAGGTTGGTTTCATGTAAGTGGTCTCCTGGAAGTTGTGGACAAAGCCGAGACCCAGTTTGGAGCAGATGACACTCGCCCGCATGAAATAGGCTGTGATCTCCTCTCTGCTGATGAGGCCTTCCCTGGACAACCACAACACATACACAGTATAACTTATAACAAATGAAACTGAGCTGTAAATGAGCAGTATATATGGGAAGCGGATAGTATCTTAACTTCATATCTTAATGTTTGGTATTGTCTGACCTGGATTATTTGTTTGCACCCTCCTCTGCTACACACTAAACCACTTTGTCATTGTGTAATGTGAAAACATAACCCTCAAATATGGTGGTTTTTATGTTTAGGTCTAAATGAGGGATCACATGTTATACTGGACGAGCACGAGAAATAAAACGGTGATCATTTAGTTGTGAGTGTTATGTTAAGTTCTGCAGCTATTTTTTGTTTCCTGTTGCTATCACTACAAATACCACTTTTTCATTCCTTTCCTCTGAAGTCACAAATGAGCTCAGAGCGTGTGTGTGTGTGTGTGTGTGTAACCTGTCAAACAAGCTCACTTCTCTTTGTCCATGACACAGAAGGAAAACGGAAAGCTAGCTGCAATTTTCTCAAATTCCTCTTGAGAGATGAAGCCGTTCTCGTCGTGATCGTAGTTCTTAAACACGGACTGTGAAAGACAAGAGGCAAACACCATTGTTGCTACTATTAGTGCACAATAGCTGCGAGAGCAGGCTGTCAAAATGGCAGCATCCAGAAGAATAGTTAAAATATTTGATTATGGTTATATAACAGCATTGCTGAGTAGCTACACTTGAAAAGGGAAGTACTTACATCCACCATTCTCTGCACATGTTTGCTGATGGTTCGGGGATCAGGTTTGGGAGCCACTCCTGGTGCCCAGTCCACAACCACTGGAGGTCTAGAGGGGGTGGCTGGCTGATAGAAAATGAATATGTCATTAAAAAAACAAGCCTGCACTCGCAGATAAACATGCAAACTATTATCTGAGCCATTCTGTTCCACTAAATCTATGAATGTCCTTCAGAAGCAGAGGCAATGCTGGCGAACTATTCTTTGAAAAAAGGTGAGTAATGCTTTGAAGGACATTTATGTATTTCGCCATTTTAGGAAATAATTTGCTTTCTTGCAGAGAGGCGAATGAGAATATTGGTAGCGCTCTCATGTTTGTAAATATGTAGCTGTAGCCAGCAGCCGGTTAGCTTAGCTTAGCATAAAGAATGGACAATGGGAAAACAGCTTTACACTTAGAGTTTTGTACAGAATACACATAGGAGATGCGCCATGAGCATTGGTGAGCATTAGAGGTGCTGGTAATTCGATTTTGTCACCTTTGGACAGAACCAGGCAAGCCATTTCCCTTGTTTCCAGTCTTTAAGCTAAGCTAACCGGTAGCTTCATATTTAGCATACAATCGAAAGTGGTAGCAATCTTTTCATTGTGGCTGGTAAACAGTTGTTAACTGTCTGCTTCTATCACTCACAAGTGCTTTACAGTTCTTGGGTTCCCTGGTGTAAGACAGTTCATAGATCTCATCCTCAGTGTAGTAAAGGTCCAAGGACAGCTGTAGGGAATGAGAGAACACATGACGGCACATGAGAGGTAAACAGAAAGAGTAAGAGCTCTCTTTAGAGCTAGATTTTTGTCCTTGAAACATGTTTTGATGAGGGCAATATTAGGTCACAGAGTAACCATTATCTCTTCATGGGCATTCTGTGGTTCAAGTATGATTACAGCACCGCACACAGATGGCACAACAATACAGCAATCTGAACTCTCTCTCTCATTCACACTCGGTTCGTCACCCACACACTCATAGATCATAGACTCTCATCCCACCCACACACGCGCAGACAATCCACATGCTGTAAGGCGCTCATTTGCATCTGTGCTTGCGTTCAATTTAGTGAATCACATCAAGCTACATAACAATTTGAAAATAATCAAAAGGTAATGTTGTATTGAAGGGTGCACTACCGTCAACAAATGGACCAGGTCCTTGTTCGCGTCCAGCCTCGGATGGATTTGCTGGAGCTGGATCAGCTCATTAATGTGGCTGTAGAGTGCCTGGAGCTTCTGGACATTCACCTTGTTGTTCTCCACATAGTCTGACATGGCCTCGTTAACCGAAATCAGATCTTTGAGGTGAACGCCCAGAATAGGGATTTTAAAACCTGTACACCTGTTGTAAGCTTGTCTATAGTTGTCATAGTTTCTGCAAGAGGACAGCAGGTCTGTCATCTCGTTCAGTACCTGGGGAGGGAATAGATTTCCTTTTGTGAGAATGCTTTGGCTCTAAATATGAACGGGATCTTGTGGTGGTAGGTGTCATTTACCTTGGTGACCTCGCTGGGTACATGTGAGGTGGTGTCCTTCAGTCTTGATATCGAGCTGTGACAAAGCCCTCCCACCACCGCCATTAGTGTGTTGTAATTGTGCATGAGATGTAGATTCTGGTGGACGTACACAAAAAAGCACACAAATCAGTCCATCCGCACACACACATAAACATGCACAATTAAACTTGTTCCAGGTAGCCCTGGTTATATAATTCACAACACTGCAGTTACATAATCCACTTGCATTGTTGGGCTTTTCTTACTGCGCTCTGATATCTCACTCTTTTTTCGAAGTGCTTTTCCCTCTCTTTTCTGTTCTCTAAATTCTTGCTGTCACTGGAGCATTATGGTGTGAAATTCGTTTCCACACCCATGGGTTTGAGGTTGACAGCAGTGAGCAGCAGCAGACTGGTGCATTAGTGTAACAGTGCAAGAGGTGCTCCAGAGTACAAGCCTGCCTAACTGCTCCCTTGTCAGCGCATTGCTTCTCAGCAGGCCACAGGCAGCTTCACATTGGAGTGGTTTTAGAAGCAAGGTTTACACTCAAGAGTCATTTCTGTCTTTTCCACTTCCGCATCCTCCTCTATGTCTAAGTATGTTCCACTTGACGACTCCATTAGCTTGCATTCAGTTAATACTTTTCTATTGGGAAAATCTTAGGATATGCTAAAAGCCTGCAGCAGAGCTGTTGAAAATCATTACCAACTCTTTATGAATACGCATTATGCAACTGCCAATTATGTAGCATCTATAGTGCTGTTCAGAGTATGAAAATAGGATGTCATTAGTTGGATAAAGTGCATGAACAATAGCACGTAGATGCAAGTAAAGAGGAAATGTGTCAAATAGAAGTACATTTTTCTGCTAAACCAGGAACAGAAAGTGCAAGTAGTAGCGAGAGGTTGATTAAACCACTACCTTTGCCACGTGGATAAACTTGGTGAAAACCTCAGCCCTCAGCTGAGCTGTCGGCCTGCTCAGCACCATCAGCTGAACCCACTGGGAGATACCATTACACAGGGCGATGGAACGCTCCATCACGGGGATGTCCTTCATGCAGCAGCTTCTAATGTAATTCTGAAAGTCTACAAACTGACAGAGAGAGGAGCATAAACTGCTGAACGGAAACTGGAAGGCATTTCCCGTCGAGAGGAAATACCTTCTGGTTTTCAGTTCACAGAGATGCACGTCAAATAAACAAATCATCAACGTGCAAATGATGAACCAGGTACACTCGAATAGTGTTTTAGTGTGTATACTCACTGATATCCTGCAGAAGGACTTGAATTCCAGGAAGGTGAGATGCTCAGCCAGCTCAATGGGCTCCAGGTGATCAAAAAGAAGAGAGACCTTCCTCTTTTTACTGCTGTTAGCTTTGATCTTCTGGCTGGCCTTCCACGACCAGTCCCGTTCATTTCTAGAACACACCATCCAACATAACACAACTGCATTTACAATCAGCAGTTTAACAGCTTTAAACATTGTTGTGTCTATCAATACAGACTTGTGTTAATGTGCTAGGGAATTATCTTATCTAGTCAAGATGCAAACACTTCCAAAGTTACCAATATGCTAAATTATATATACATTTCGGACATAACTGTGCAGCCATAAATTGTACAGTTTTGATTTATTTTATTTCAACAATTCATATATATATATATATAATATTTGTTCTTTTCTGATTGTAAATTGAATATCTCAGTGTTTTGGGCAAGACATTGAAGACATCGCTGTGGGTTCTGGGAAATAGTGACATTTTCTGAAACTTTATCGACTACATGATCGATTGATTAATTGAAAAAAATAATAGCGGATTAACAAATGATTGTTAGCTGCAGCCCAACTAGCCAAGTGGTCAAGTGCGGCAGATAGAAGACACATGTGCACGTGATTTTCCAACCATGCGAAAGCTACATAAGCAGCCTCAAAGTTATACTGTTCACAGTTCAAAGTCTGTATTGTGGATCGTGACTGAACAAACCACTGAGTGTTGTTTTGGCCTAATGTCTCAGTTGCCAGCTGGTCAGAGATTAACACTTACATCCATTTGGTCTCGAGGAGAGAGCAAAGATGCTCCTGTCCCTGCTCTCTGATCAGCTCCCGAAACTGGTCCAGGCTGTCTGACAAGCTGTGGTGCAACCGGAACATCATCCAGAATTCCTGGATCCAATGCCTGCAGGTCAGAGATGATGCCATGAGACCGATACAGAACATACAATTAAAATTACACTCGTACAATGCGTCGTTGTGTTAAACTGACCTGATGAGGTAGCATATCCTCTGGCACTCTGTTGGCTGCTCGTTGTCCAGCGCTATTTTGAATGTGAGGGCTTTGGTGAAGGAGCTGATTTTGACTTTTTGTGATTAGCAACCTCGGTAAAGATTGGTTTTATCGTCTGAAAGTTAAAGCTGGGATTCACATCAGGTGTCAGCAGCGGTTCAGGCTTTACAACACTTTTGTTTCGGTGAAAATTGTTGTCGGTAAATCATTGAAATTGTACAAGAGTTTTGAGTAAACAATGAACACGTGTCTATTTTGACTGCAGGGTGTCTTTCATACAAACAACTCATTAATAAAACTACAGCAAATAAGCAAAAAGCGAACAGAAGTGGCATTTGGTAATGTGGGAGGAGGCGACTGCATGAAGCAAAGCTCTGATGAGCATCACTGAATGAATCATTCTGGCATACAGAAGTAAGCGAATAACAAAATGTACAAAGAGAACACACAATCAATGCCTCATATACCGTAAAGCAGCCGTGGATTAATGTGCATTGTTTAGTGGTCGCACTCTGACGACGTTTTTATCAAAGCCCATCAGAATATTATTATTTGACATGGTCGCTCTGGCTTCCGATTTGCACACGTTGACCACAAAAACACTGTCCTGACAATTTATATACAGTAGACACACAATAACATTTCCTTATTATACTAAGCAGCTCTTCTATATAGACTGACACTAAAGCTCTCAATTGGCAGAAATCAGCTTGAAGTGATTCATATAAAAAGGCTAATTGCGTCATGGGAGCAGAAGATCTGCCCACGCAATCCCAAGGCCAGACTGTGATGAAGGCTGTTAATGGCCCCTGTGTCTCTTCCCCACATCCTTACCCACACACTGAACTTATTTGATGTATCCTTTTGGGTCTTCGGCTCAGAACGAGAGGGTTAAAAATAGCAGAGTGGCATTCGGCGTTGCATGCTCTGACGTGGGTTTGTGTGAACGGGGACTCTTTAAGCAATAGAGGGTCTGTGTTTATATATAGTTGAAGAGGATCTGAATGTGAAAGCGGCAAAGGTAATTAACACCTGAAACCCACATGCTGGTCACCGGGGTCAGTAGGCTCCTCTGAGAGGCTTAGTGGTGCCACTGCTGTTTCCTGAAAGGAAGCCTAGATTACAAGCCTTTCACTCAAGTCACATCACTAACAAACAAACAAAAACACAAGGTGTTTTCAAGGTGTGAAAGCGGGAAAATGAAAGAGACAGAATCAAACATTTTGGAAAGAGACCCAACACGTGATGGTAATCGACTCCCTGTTATTGAACGCATGGGATACAGGGCCCAGAGTGAAGGGAATTTACATGGACAGAGATGTAAAAGGTCTACACCAACTGACAGCAGGAGTAAACATGAGCTGCCACTTGCCTATCACATTTTACACTGACAGCTACAGGCCGTCGTTAGCCAAGTACAAGCTTGATTGCCAGTTGCTGTTGACAACCAAAGGAAAGCAGCACACAACAGAGCCAGTGATCTGATCCCGAGTTGCATTTGGTGCTCAAAATTGGCCAGTGCATTGTTTGAATCATCTGTCTGTGTTGAGATAGCGGTTACAGCTTAATGTCGGACTGTTGGAAGGATATAGAGCGGTGAGTTTGTCCAGCAGATCACAGGAGGAGATGTGGATACGGTGCATGGTCAGGGTGATGTTCAACAGATGGCTGCTTCCACACACACCACCATCCGAGTCTGCAAGACAAAATGCACAGACTTTCAATTTACCCTCCTTGCTACAACGTGGAGAAAAAAACAAAACACCTTTTGCAAGTCAACATGTCATCCCTTAAAATAAAATTTTCATCAGAGGTGATACAAGGTTTCCGTTGTTTAGGTTGTATCACACATCATTGCTCTGCCAGAGCTATGGGTTAATGTTGAAAAACAAACAGACTAAGCAGTCACCTTTGTCAAGGATCAGGCTGGTGAATCATTCTCTTTGCCAATAAGTCCTATGTCACAAATATATACTTTCATATGAAAATATAGAATATCACAGCCTTATCCTTCATTTAATATTTTCTGGATGAAATGTGATGATGGATGGACCACTCTTTGCAAATATACCAATGTCTATGGATGCAGTGCTTCATAGATTATCCTGGAGTATTCCTTTGTTTACAAATCTCTTGATTATGATCCCATGACTCTGACTAACCCTCAAGTGTTACCTGTGAAAACCTTGACATAGATATTCCCATCATTGACAGCAGAGGGTTAGGTTAACCTGCTAAAACACCAACTGAAAGCATACACTGTAACACATTTTGTCATACTGTCCAGCACGGACTCCATTTGTGAAGATTTGCCTTTCCTCTGATTGTGTGAACCTCTGCGGCTTGCTAGTCTCACTACCTTTTTCACTTCCGTCTTCCTTGTGTATATCTCACTTCCTCCCATTGTGGCCAGACCACCTTTTCTTATCTCGGTTGTCTGATGCTAGGCTACAGCTGACATCTTGAGACCCACGGAGTGGGAAACATTCTTGTCGACCACTTCAAAAAAAAAACGAGCCTACATGTGTACAAAATATTACGTAAAATCACAACGCCAGGTCTGACCTTTTAATTGCAGAAAACACATTTTTCCTGCCCACTTAAGCGTAGCAACACACCACTTATCTTAAAAACAACGCTACATGCAGTCAATTAGCGACGGACGCAAAGAAGAAGAGCTTTTAATTGCATCTTGAAAATATTCTGTATATATCACGGTACATTTTAGGCTGTTCACATCTCCCTTCGACAATCTGTAAAGAATGAAATCATTGTGCTGAAAATGAGTGAGTTCTCAAGCTGAGAATTGTTTCCCTTTAGGCTTTACCAGTGTCTTGACACTATCAAGGACATCAGGGAATCTGTGGACCCACTTTTAAACCATATCACCTTGGAAATACCTCGGACGCCATGGCAACATGTTTTCTAATCTTTGTTATCTGTAAGCAACTCACCACTCCAGCTGCAGCTGAGTAATCTAGCCCTCATATCCTGCATGGGGTGTGTTTCTGTTTGTAACACGCAGCCTCTACCAGTCAAAGCCAGTGAATATCAATTTCCTCACCAGTCAAGTCAATAAGAGAGTAAGAGAGAAGAAGAGTGAAACAATGCCTCGCAAATTAAAATAACATGGCTGGTATTAAGTACTAACGCTTTGATGCAGTTAAGACATTCAGAAAGCAATACACACTTCTTCTTCTTGACATTTGTGATAAACTCAGGTAAAAAAAAGAAGCCCTTTTTACTCAAATTATCAACTCGCACTCGTATTTTACTTCAAACACTGGCAACAGGTATCAGGTGTGAATCAGCCAAAGTCAGAGCTATGGCAAATGCACAACAGGAAGTCATGACTCTCCATCAAGTTAACAATTGCTCCATCCCTTTTTTCACAACTTTCCAACCACTAACCCTCCCTGTGCAGGGTTAATTGCAGGAGGAAATCCCCTCTGTACTGTCTGTTCCTGACTGGAAAATTAGGAAAGCTGCCGCCCGCTACACTGGCAATGTGTGATACTGTATGGTGATAAACACAGCCCAGGGGCACGCAGCGCCTGGCTCACTTTTAAGGTTATCTTAGACATTCATCAGCTGCTGCAAACCTGCATGTCGCTTTACCTTGTTTTGACAGAGCCTTTCAGACTGAATGGTCTCTTTGTTTCAGAGGATTACAAATCAGATGCAGGTTGAGGATTATGTCTCTGTACTCTGAACAAACATCTCCAAAATGATCAGGACCCACAGTAAATGTATGGACTACCACAGGGAGTTTCTCTGCAGTTGAAGGTACATCGAAAGATTGTGGAGTAGTTTGACTAATTCTATCAAATAGAATTTCATGATTCAACTTTAAAAATATGTCTATATAAAGAAGAGTGTGGGAAAACTAGTTAGCCGGCGAGCAAAGAAGTAAGCTAAAAGCAATGTATATATATAGCTAAAAGTAATGGATAAACAGTTGAAATAGTTAACCTAAAGTAATGAACAATATAGATAAAAGAAATGGACAAATGGTTGATATCTACCCCATAGACATCTGACATCTGTGTTACGTTGACGCTCATCTTGGACTATTATCCCTGTACACGCACCTTTTGCACATCCCCTGGTCAATGTTTTTGCAAATCCTGCACAAAACTGTACAGCTCTCTTATTCAGAAAACATTGTATATCGTACATATTACAGTTACACCATACATACTAGAGTTATATTGTACCTATTTGTTATAGTATTATTTATAGTAATTTTCCTGTATTTTTATTGTAATTTTTCTATTTTGTATTTATGTTCTTGACCTTTGCAGTACATTGTCTGTATGTTTTCTTTCCTCTTAATATATTTATTGTATGAACCAAACACAAATGCAAATTTCATGTAAGCAAATAACCTACTTGGCAATGAACCTCATTCTGATTCTGAAATAGTTAGCTAGGAATAATGATAAAATGCTTGAATTGTCCAGCTTCTGCCACTCTAAGTTGTAGTAGTCCGAATGCAAACATTGATTCAATTGTATACGAAAATGATTGATTTTACATCTACTTTTATATCATTAATGGATTAATGCTATCCAATGTAAAATCACTTCAAATGAACACATTTGGAACATGATAGGGGGAGTTGATGGAGGAGTTCATCTGACAAGGGAGCCACTGCTTTAGAGGTTGAGGGCTCTCTATACGGCCAACAGAAAAGTTCTCACTGTAAGAATCATATCGTTTGATGTCTTACATATTTTATAAATGATATCTAATAAAAAGAAAACCTGTATAAATACAAATGAACTGTAAAATTAAATGTAATATGTGTATATGTATGAATTAGCTTGACATTGGGCATGTTCAGAGCGTGCAGTGTGGTTGAGAGAGAGTGATGATGTCAACAGCTATTGATCCACACCTCATAGTGCTCTGCATTTCAAAGGCTGGTCAGCATCTGAGCACCACTGTTAGGGGAGCTGACCTTTCCGCTCAGCCAGGCTTGAAGCTGCCATCAGGTAATCCTTCAAATAGCTCTTACGTGCACTCTCACATTTGAAAAGGTGGCAGGACTAGTGGACCTTAGGGGTTCGCCTGTCATGTGGGCCAGGAGGAGCAGGACTAATGTTCCATTTTATCAGGAGAAGCTGTTCAAGGAAATCCCCATTCAAAACACACTGTCCTCAGTGAGATACTATCTTGAGCATGTGCATGTGGATCTCACATTTTGACATTTTTTTTCAGCAAGTGTTCAGAGCATGCTATGATACTGCACTACAGGGTTTCTTTACTCTTCCTCTTCTGAATAATTCAGTTCCCTTCGTCAATCTGAAATGAGCAACAGGCTGTCATTACTGCCCGCTTTTACCTCTCCACAGATAAATGTAGTTATGGGATGTCATTTTATGCGCAGCCTATTGTAACGCCTCTCCATTGCTCTTGCTCCATTTGTGTAACCAGGCAACGGCAATTTGAAAGCGTGTCTCTGCAGAGACGCAATCACCATAACTCTGGGAGCACTCCTGACAACTTGATGAAGCCAATGATCATTGCTTGATTGATCCAGTTACAGCCCACTTAATCACTGCTGCTCTTTTTCATAGAAAAAACGATATATATATATCTTGCGTACAGTAAAATATTGATACTGATACATTCATTGACAAATAGAGTGATGTAAGAAATTATGATAAACGTAATCAAATACTGTTTTCCTCAATATTTTCAAATCACTTGAAGCAGAAGAAAACTAAATCTCACTGGCAAGCATCCATAGGACGGATTTCATCTTCAAAACATAAAACCCTACTTTAAACAAAAACAAATTCAACTGTCTAGAAAATCCATTTCACTTTCAAATGCCTTCTCTATTTCTTTAGGGGCTTGCCCAAACCTGTTGGAGGTTTGCGGCCAAATGCCAGGAAAAAAGGTGGGAAAAACAGAGACTTCTGGGAAACAACAACAGTATGTGATCACTCATGCACGAAGGCTTTTTATCTTCTTGTTTCTCAATAACAGAAACGAGTACTGCAGAAAAATCAAACTTAGACTAAACATTCACAAAAGGCTTCAGTGTTACACAAACACGGACCACACACACCGGTGCTCAATCCTCATGCTGTACATCAGCTTTAACTCACCAAAGCACTGCAGACAGGCCTGGATGATGTCCTCCCAGCTCCCCCCTTTGGTGAGGGGACCCAGGGACATCATGGATTTCCCAGGGGCGGTTTGGGCCGGGCTGGGTTTGTGGAACCTGTGAGGGCGGCCTGGAGGAGAAACTCTAGACTTGGAGCTGCATCCTGGAGACACTCTCCTTGAGAAACACCAACACAAGAAGAGTGAGGGGGAGGAGGGGACAGGAGGGCTTGCTGCAATGAAAGTCTATTCGTACACGTGTTTCAAGCCTTAATCTCATGAGACCACAGATGATGACACATGAAACGATCTGTGCAATTGTCACAAGAAATCGGAGCCATTGTTTGAATTTAAGAACCCCACTGGAATTTAGCTCTTCATTGTTCTCATTTCCTTCCTTTTAACTTAGGGAAATACCGGTTGATTGCGGACATCCAGTTTAACCAGTTGAATGACCAGTAAACAAGAAGGAATTTGTTCGAAACATGTATTTTAAGTGCAGCAGGTCAGAAAGTAACAACAGTTTAGATTAAAGAACCTGTGCGTAAAGTAATTGAGTAGCCTAAAGTTAGCGGTTCACGCACCGTTTAGGCACAAATAATTGAAAAAAGCCTGTTTATTAAGCACTAAGAACGGTCACTAGCACAACACTGATAATTGAAAGAATCAAGTTATTGTTGAATAAGTGCGCACATTTTCGCCAAAACCACACAAGAAACTCCGCTCCAAAAAATATGATCTGACTTACGCATCGTCCTTTCCCTTTTCGTCCGACGTTATATTTTCGTTTTGGTTGTTTTCTTTTGATTGACACCCCATGGCGAGGTACTGGGCGACGAGCGGCTGAACTAGGCTGTCCATCTGTGTTCGCCTCGATGGGAGCATTTCATTGCTCTGCTCGGCTCAGTGCGCCTCCGCGGTCTCAGCAGCATTGTGCTGACTCGTCAATGGACGTTACACAATTAAGTCACCCAGCTCGTCTGTGAGTGGGCGGCCGTGGTGCCGGGCTTGTCACTCACACAGAGCGGGCTCTGTACGTAGGCTTCTTCTTTATTTTACAACTTTAATTTAAGAGTTAGTTTGGTCGTTGGTGTCTGTTTAGGGGAAGAGCAGGAGAAATGAAATGCAGTTAAAACATTTTTTTTTCTATCGTCTCACTCGTTTGAAACTGTAATAAAATTGGATCATAGATTTCAGTCTGCTGTCCAACATAAAATCATATTCATAAAAAAATAAATCCCTATAGATTCACACAAAACCAGAGTCCATGTCTCTTTGGGGACATAAATACATTTAGGAAAATCTCTCTTGTAGTTTACTAAAACCTTTTTCGTTTGTTCAGACTGCAGAACAGGAAAAGGGTGGACCTTCCTCTAAAGATAACAGTGGTTGTAGGTTCCATGGAGGCTTTTATGGGGGATAAATGTATTGTACCAAACTGTAGTAGGTGTTCCAGGGACGAGGTTTCCTGAAGCCTTTCAACTGCTTTAAGAAGAGTCTTATCACACTTACCCGGGTGGAGAACAGAGCTCTGTGAGAAGGGATTCATGTAGACATTATGCCAATGAATAACAACACAGTGAGTCTGTTAACATGTTATAGCTAAATTGACACCTAAGGGCAATTAAAAGATTGATTTAAGGGACTGAACAAGTGATTATTCAGAACATTTTGTTTTTACGATGACAAAAACTATACATCTGGTGTGTTTAGGCATATTTTCTCAAATAAGAAATCATGTGCAAACACACCAGAGTTGGCACTGTGCTGCAATAGATAATGTGAAAACCTGTATAGGATATGATTGGAAATGCAACTAATAACAGCTTCTTCTTTTTCACCATAAAACATCAAGTTTAAGCAAAAAGGAACGCTGTTAAATTAGCTATGGAGCTTTGCGTTTGCCCTTTTTCACTTGAAATTAACAGTGCTCAGGCGGAGCAACACACTCCATAGCAAAGAATAATAGGTGCACACAGTCTGTGATTAAATCTGAGACAGCTCTGTGCTTCCTGCACCCCCGAGTGTCCTGCCTTTGATGAGGTGCCTCCCTGTGTGCTGTCCACAGGCTAGTAGTTTGAGTTCATGAGTTTCCACAGGCAGACTGAAGTCATAAGAACCTGTGTATTAACAGCTGGCTACTTCTGATAGCTTGTCTGCACCCTTTTCTGAGTCAGTGCTGTTATCAGACCAGTCAGTGAGGCCTTAAGCCTGCCCTCATGTGGCAAATCTAAATCTGATCCCAGTTTTATCTCATTACATTGAGCCACGGTACTGGTGACAGAAATGAAATAAAAATATAACAATTGACAAATTTTGAATGATTTGTCAAGGAATGAGTGACATTACTCTTTGTTTCCCATCTCACTGCAGCACTGCTTCTGACATTATATGATACATTTGGGTGGACCATATTTCTACATAAGATTATGTACGCTGAATGACCCCGTGTCAAGTTAGAAATCAAAATATTTCTTAGAAAGTTATAATCTCTGAATAAGTGTTCAAATTCTTCTCTTTAATTGCATTTTCTATTGTAAAGGTAAGATATCATATTTGTTTTTTCTGCACACCCGGTCATTTAAAGACGACCAGGCATCATCCTTGTGGTCAGACATTGCTGCAAAATATGCACCCGTGGCCAATTAGTATAGTCAGCCAGTCTCTGCTGCAGCCAGCTGCATGGTGATTTATGTCTTCAGGGTGCAAGTTAAAATAGCATTGAATGATTTTTTTTTGGGGGGGGG